AGGACCTCCTACAATCACAGGAAGCCTCTTTTTCCTTACTTTCACCTAAACTTACCTCAGTGTTCCCATCCAAGCTTCTCACTTCTTTTGTGGAGACAGTAAGGAGAATTCATGAGATCTTACTTATTAAGAAAAGCTTATTGAGCAAGTTGCTTCACTACTTAAGGTAAACTCTTTCTTGGAAAACTAAGTATTTGGACCATGTGAGCTATAAATCTCTTACATCTTGCAAAACCACAGCACAGTTATCATTGTGACCTATTGCTTCTTGCAGTGTTTATCTTCCTGTTGCTTCTTTTAGTCATGTGGCCCAATTCAGCAAGACACATTACAAATAACATCTGACAATAAACCACATGACAGTTTCTACTCCTGAGGCCTAAGGATCTTACTCAGCCTTTCTTCTCTTTTCATTTGAAAAAAAAGTTCCCCATCATGGTCTCCTCCATTCCTTCCAAACTTTATCTCTAGCCCAGAATCTTCTTTTCATCTCCCCCATCCTTATTCCAAGCATTAGACACCTACCTCCACCAAGTGGTCCCACGGGCACCTCCAACTTGATATGAGTCCCAGAGTCTTCTATCCTTCCCCTGAATGCCCTGGTTTTGTAAATGAATCTACTCTTCTCTGTTACTTAGCACTGTGTCCCGCGTGATCTTTGCCTCCCTCTCCTCCATATTTCTCAGAACCCATTCATTCTGCTTCTTCAGTCCAAACACTCACTGCCTTTTGTATTGTTGCAATAGTCTATCTAGGTTTCCCCTTCAGCTTCTCCCTGACTACACAATGAGGCTACGTTCAACTTCTAAAAACAGGATTTTTAACTCTTATTTTCTCCCTGAAAACTTTTCATTGTTTATTATTTCAAACAAACAAATTCCAAGCCTCTTGTCATGGAAATTCAAGAGTCTCCATTAGCAATCCGTCCTTTTTCTATAATTCTTAGTTTATTGCATCCTACTCTATGTAACAATTTAGATTGCATATTTGCTGTTGCAAATAATGTTTAGTGTCCCCATGTCAGACTCTAGGTCACACTGAACCTTTGACTTTAGTACCCTTTCTCCCTGTTCTCCAGTCACCACTCACCTCACCCACTCACATGTTGTCCCAGAATGTCTCCTAATAATATCAACCTCATGGGACCTTCCTTTTATGTAAGTCATGAGTGTGTTTCTCAGGCTGCAATTTCTTGTAGAAATCAGTGTTCTTCTTCATGAGAATGTAAGCATCTTAGAAAAGGTATCTACTTCAGAAGCATTTTATTTATTTATTTATTTATTTATCTATTTATTTATTTATTATAATATGTGTGTGATGTTTATGTGGGAGTGCATGCCACCATTCACTTGTAGAGGTCAGTAGGCAATTTTCAGGGGTCAGTTATCTCCTTCCACTTTGTTAAGGCAAGGGTCTTCCTTGTCTCTGCCTGTCTGTGTGCCCCATCTGACCATAGGCATGATGAAATTACAAATCAGAGCCACCAAGTCTGGTTTTTTGTTTGGTGGTTGTTGTTGCTACTGTTGTTGTTGTTTAAGACAAAGTCTAACTCTATAGCCCTGGCTACCAAGTAATGCAGTGTGTTGACCAAGTTGTGCTGAAACTCACAGAGATCTTCCTGTCTTTGCCTCCCAAATACTGAGATTAAAGACATGTGCCATTATATCTGGCTTGGCAGGATTATTTTTGGATGAGAGGGGGTTGGTTGGTTTTGTTTGTTTTTCTTTTTCTTTTTTTTAGACAGGGTTTCTCTGTGTAGCCCTGACTATCCTAGAACTCACAACGTAGACCAGGCTGGACTCAGACTCACAGAGATCCACCTGCCTCTGCTTCCTGAGTTCTGGGATTAAAGTCACCCACCACTACACCCTGCCTAGGTTTTTTTTTTAATATGGGTTCTGGAGTTCAAACTCAGGTCATCAGGCTGACACGCCAAACACTTTTATCCACTGAACCACCTTGCCAGAACTTCAATAGTTTTGAAACACTGTAAAACTCTAATTGATATGAATATTATATTTGCTCGTAAGTATCTAAGTATCTGGATAAATTAATAATAAATAACTTAATACAAATCCTGCTTGGAAGAATCAATCATATATTAATATTACTAATCAATAATTAACATCTCCACAATACATTCTTAAGTATTGTACTTACTTTTGTGAAATATGAGATGGGATAATATCATTGTATACTACACAGTCATCATAATTTTAACTGCACAAAGTTAAATAGATTACTTTTCAAAATAAGTGACAGTCTTTTATAGAATTGGAATTTGTGGCTTTCATCTGCTGAAATGAGCCAAATAAAGCAGCCAAAAATCCAGGCAGTTGCTCATTGAACAAAAGTCTAATTGAGCAAGAAGTCTAATTGTACACTGATGAAGTAATCAATAATAAAAGTCACTCGGAATAGTTATAATAATAAAGGTTCAGCATGCCAAGTCTCCTGCTAGGGAAATTGGGGGAAGCAGTTGGCATTTCACATCTATTTGCTTCATACTTGGTTCGAGCGGTTGGAGCTGGCTGGTAACCTTTGGTACAGTAGCAGGAGAACCCCATATAAAACTTAAAGTCGATTCACAGTCTATTTGGCAATATTGAAACTAAATTATTCCCAGAGTATTTTTCAGCAACGCATATATATTACTCTCAAACTTAGCAAAGGAATAATAATCTACTGCTGATTAATACCTTATAAGAAAAAAAACACTCCTATCTTAAAATAGGATCATGCCTATAACATTATAAAATTACCTTCCCACCTGCCTGGACTGATGGGAGAGAGGCATCACATTGCCTCCAAGTGACAAAACACTGGTATTCCTAAGCAACACTTGCATAATCCCTGTGTTGTCAAAACATTTTAGAAGTCCCGCCTCTACCCATAGCTTCCACTACTTGATTACCAACCCCAAGAGAAAATTAGCACAAACTGGCAACCAGCAAGAGTGGAGGAGGTATTGCTGGGTTTGGCAGAAACTGAATCACATGTCCTGTGCATCTCTGTGTGAGCTACTCCTGGAGAAGAGTGGGGAGCATCACCCCTAGGGAACTACACTAATGATGGGTCCCACTTCTGGCCATCTGTCCTGAGGCTGCCTCCAAACTTCAGGGCTTCAAGATGCAGAGAAAAGAGAGACAATGGAGTTTGACTGAGGAATTTCCTCCCTGAGAAAATACTATGGTGATTTGGTTAACTTAGTAGTTACAAAAATTTGAATACTTAATCTCCCTAAACGTCCATTTCCCCTTTTGTGAAAAGAATATTATTATGGCATATCTTTGTTATTATAACTTATTAAGTGAAATAGTGCCTCTGAGACACTTTACAAAATATTTGGCACAAACAAAATGCTACTAATATTTGCTCAATAACAATAGATAATTGACTCAGAGGTTTACAGAATTTTGTGATCAATGACTAGATTGCATCCCCCCCAAAAAAAACTCCTAAAATTAAAAAAAAGTGATTCTAAGACCCAACCTTGTTTGTTGCCTAGTTGTTTTTTTTTTCCCCAGAGAACTATTTATAAAGTTAAAAAAGCAATGTTGATGAAGTCATGCATTCTTCCCACACACAAAGGGAAGCCCAGCACAACAGCTGGGAACAGCATGTTGTTTTTCTTCTACAAATGTACCTGAACCTACACATCAAAAAAGAAGAGTTTTAATCTTCAAAGGAATCACCTCAGGAAGCTGTGTACTTTTCAATAATGCTGCCAAATATTTTCATAATCTCCCTTCTGCATTAGCTCCTGGTGTGGCCTCTGATTCTTTTGTTGTCTTTTGTTGGCAACAAAATTTTATGCACTGAGAATTTTCAGTTCTGAAAACAGATTTAAGACACAAATAAGATGAAGAATAATATCACCTTGGGTTTTAGGGGTGTTGGGGTTTTTTGTTTTTTGTTTGTTTGTTTGTTTGTTTGTTTTGGTTTTGGTTGGTTGTTTGGTTGACTGTTTTTTAATGAAAAAGTGAGACTTTTTTTTTCTTTTGGCTTGGATAGTCAAATATATCGACTCCAGCCAGCGCATCTATAGGGCATTTAGGATCAATAGAAGCACTGTCAGCATGAGCCGGTTGCTTTCTGTACAAACGCTAAGTTATGTAGTTATTTATTAAACGTTACTAAACAGACACCTCACCTCTTGAGCACTGAGAACTTTCACGGGTATTAATTTATGCTGTCTTATGAGGTAGGTACTTTCTGCTTCCCCATCTCACAGTCAAGGTCATTGAGGTACCATGGAATTTTATCTAATGACAGGGAACAGATAAATGGAAGAGTCAGAAAACCAACCCAGGCTGTCTGTTCAGTGTCTATACTGTTTTCCAGAGAACACAAGCTGTCAGCAGTAACAATCTACTCTTCTGTTCTGGGATAGATTGTAAGGTTGTTTAATTGTTTCGTTCGTTGGCTCATTCATTGAGGTACTGTGTTTAAATTGGGTGGAAAATCTATTTTGCCATGAACTATTCTTTTTCACCTCGGCTAATGGAGAGTAGCGTTATCTAGGCTCCCTTTCTGCATTGTCCTGCCTGTTACCCCAGGAGGAAGCTACCTTTCCTGTTTTCCACATGTGTAGGCCTTTCACCCAGCAATGTCTTCAGCCTGTGCCAGGAGCAGTCTTCTCCTGCCTGTTTCAAAACTCACTCCTTAAAACTCACCATTTTCCATTACTTAATTCCTAAGTCTGTATCACCAACCTGAAGAGAAAGGGAGAAACAGGGCGAAGAGAAAGATAGTGAAAGGTTTCCTCTTCATTAAAACACATTTTTGTGTCATTTTCTCTAAGTTGAATCTTTTTTGTCACTGCCCCCACCGCCACTGACTTTTCTCTCTTTTGTTGTCAAACACAGCTTTCCAGGGGGGCTTCTTACCACAGCCAACAGTATATTGCTGCCTACCCCTTCAGACAATGACACCCTCCAGAGCTCATTCCTGTGTAAACTTTTAAAATTAATTGTGCTTGAACTTTTCTTTAATTTCAGGATAAAAGAAAAATACAGGAAGAAATCTCACAGAAGCGTCTGAAAATAGAAGAAGAAAAATTGAAACACCAGCACCTAAAGGTAACTTCTGACTTCCGTTTCCTTTCAATGGGTTTGTGTTCAAGTAGCCTGGCAGCACTTACAAGCCCACCACCATAAAGACACTTTAGGAGAGAAAGCCTTCCCAGGTTAGCTCAAGCACAATATCACCTGAGAAGAGGCCAGTGAGCCACTGAGAATTGCATCTGAGATTAATACCTTTTGGCAAACCTGAGGAAAGTTGGGAGCATGATTTTATTGCATCTGTGATTAAGTTCAGAGTTTCCAAATCTTCCTCAGTAACCTTGAAAAGTCAGCCTTGAGAATTTGGCCCTGGTGCAGCCTTGCTTAACATCACTGGGGAGTGGATCCAGCTAGGAAGTTCCTTTTGAAATCGATGAAAGGCCAGCCCTTCCCCAGGGGCTGCTGCAGAGCAGACAGTGTCTGGCCTGGTCAAGGATGCTTGTGTTCCAAAGCTCCCTGCTATGAGTCCAGTGTTGTTTGCATATGGTTGGGTTTCTATTTTATTTTGTTTTGACAGAACATGAGATCATAACTATAAATAAATCTCCATTTGAAAACTCAGACTTTACGTCTTCCACAGGGTGTGGTCATTTTGTAATAAAGCACATAGGGTTTCAACATTGTATGACGTAGTTTGGTCAGAGGATCCAAGTAAAGGACAAACAGAAACTCCTTGTGAATAGGCCCAAGCAGGAAACTGTTCTTATCTGGCAGGGGTGCTATCAATAGATCGAATGAGTTCCCTCAATGAACAATGCCACACAGTCATAAAATCTCCCAACTTACACTTGCCAGATTCAGATAAATCCATTTTTCTAATGGAAAAAAATATTGCCCTGTATTAGGCACATCATTCAGGAATTCTGGTTAACCTCTGTCCCCTGGATTCTGTTGACTACTGTCCTCCTATCAAAAGAGGCATTTCCACTGTTTAATGGATGGCTGAAAGCCATAGTTAACCTGCAGTTCTTACAAAGCACCATGCTGAATTTATGTTGAGCAGTAGACACACTCAAGAAATATATGTTAGGTGAATGCGATACCACTAAGGATGTGGGGGTAGTATGGAGAAACTAAGAGAATAGAATTAGGGTGTATGATGTGAATCCCCCAAAGATTTAATAAACAAGTTTAAAAATAAAAAAGGGAAATAGACCATGTACTACACCCAGAAAAATCAATGAAATAAAAAAAAACTTAGCAATTCAAATGAAGCCAGTCAACTCTCAAACATCTAGGACAGGTTCAGAATTACTCTGCTCTCCCCCCCCCCCCCCGGCTTCCCTCCCAAACATACGCATACACAATTTGAATCCTGCCATAAAGAGTTTCCTACTTGAGAGTAAACCAATACATCTCTGGCTCTCAGGGACTGCTACTCCTGCAGTATGGACGCCCACATAACTGCCCAGCTGCCAGTAACAAAGAGGGCTTAACTATCCCCTCAACTCTTTTGGGGAAATAAGTTTCACACAGGAAAAGGCTAACTCACTACTGAAAATCTACCTACACCCCTTTCCAGTGGCTCCCTCTGCCCAGCACCCGCCTGTACCTGAAACAAGAATTTTTTTTTCTTTTCTTTTTTTTTTTTTTTTTTTTTTTTTTGTTCCAAGGTGTTCTTCAGTTCTTCACTTTCCTTCAAGGACCCAAAAGGGTGGATATGAGGGGAAGAAGGAAATAACATGTCCTAATTTGAGAAATTAAAGATTAAATTTAAGAAGTTAAATGGTGGTGTTTTTATTTAGACAATAAACATTAACTGTGAAATCTGAGCAAGTCAAAGAATATGCTCATGAAGATGTGGCTTTTAAGTAGAGCCTTAGATGGTAAGTAGAATTTACTAAAGTACACATAGGGCCTTTCAATGAACATAGGTAAACACAGAACCTGTTACTTTTGAGGTACAATACAAGACCCTAAGAATATAACAAAGCTTGCCCTGTGTCTTGTGAACTAGCTGACACATGACTCCTGATGGCATTTGTCCTGTGATGAACACTGTACTGGGGGCCACGATTGCAGAGGAAATACAGAGCAAAGAGTGGATATTTCAACATTCTTCCAAGTTTGCAGAAATTGCTGGCTATTCTAACAAAAACTAGGCCCAATTCCAAAATTAGGCTGAAAAATGTGCAAAAGCAAATTGATTTTATGCTATTTCACTGAGTTTTGAAAGTTCTACTATCTATTTTCTTTTCCAACCAGTTGTCCCTGCTCCCACCACTCTTTGCTGCTTCCCTGATTGAAAGCTAGTTTATTACACCACAATGATACACACAGATATTTGTAGGCTGAGCCTCCTGTACGACACACACACACACACACACACACACACACACACACACACACACACACAGCAGAAGAGCTGGAGTACTCACTGTGATCGTTAATTCCTGATGCTTTGACCCACAATGTGCATACAAATTTCCATGGGCATTCATTAAAATTCCCATCAAGTAATTCTGAAGTGTGTATAGTTGCGAACCTCCTTGCCTGTTACAGCATTCATCAGGAAAAACAAATTACAGTCGATATAGAATTTTTTTCTTTTCTTGAAGTCCATTCAACTCACAGGAAGAAAAACCAATTTATTCCAAGTCTGTTGTATTTGTTGAGTCAGGAGACCTTTTTATGAAAACTGACAAATATGGTTTATATGTCATTATATCACTTGGCTTTTCATTTAGTTACTAGAGATTTTGATTCTATTACCTGGCTTTGTGGTGATGGTGATTAAACCCACGGCAATCGTCTCCAGGAGCAACCTCAGCAGCCCATACAGCTTTTGATTCTGAACTTCACTGTCATGAAATCGTTAACCTGGGATCATCACAGTTTACCATCTGGCTCATCTAGCTTAGTACCCTCGGACTGTGCCATCTGGGTGTTTCTTAGATCAACAGGCAAGCAAGTGGCACTGTCCTTCTGGATGATTCATAAAAGCCAGAACTTACTGATGGGCAAGAATGAATTTGCATGTAAAAAAGACGTAAGGGAAAAGGAGATGACTCACTTGGTTATGGGCTCACCATAGCAGCACAGGGACCTAAGTTGAGATCCCCAGCTCACATACAAATATCCAAGCACACCAGTGTACACCTGTAGTCCTAGCTCTGAGGAGGTGGAGACAGGGGCTTGCTGTCAACCAGTCCAACCAAATCAGTGAGCCAAATCCTGTCTGAAAAATCAGGTAGAGAGCCAGCAAGATGGCTGACTGGATAAAGCTGCTTGCTGCCAAGACTGCTGACCTACATTCAATCCTAGGACCCATAGAGTTAAGGGAGAAAACCAGCTCCTGTAGGTTTTCTCCATATGAATCAGCACACAAGGCATACGCACTACCCCTGTACAAAAGCACAAGTACCAAGGTAGAGAGTGAAAGAGGAAGACACCAGCAGTGACTTCCGACCTCCACATGTACCAGCATACGTGTGCATCTGTAGTCACAGCACAAGTATATACTCACACAACTTGTATACCCTCATAGACCACACACACACACACACACACACGATTTAAAAGTCCAAAAACTAGCTTCAGAAAAGAGTCTAGAGTTTTCACAGGTGGAAAAACACCAAATCTATGAAGGCTGGTTAACAGGAGAAAATGGGTCCTCTTTACTATGCCCACTATTACAATTCATGAAATTTGAAGGCAACAAGAGGTTTTTGAAATTGTTGACAGATATAAAGAAATAAATGTCTTCTTCATGACACATTAACTGTCGTCACCTTGCATCAATATAAAATAAATTAAGATCCAGGTAAATTCTTAAAATGCTCATCAGTTTTCTTGGCGCCTTAAACCCCATTAGTCAGACTATTGTTCACTGGGTCTGGAGAGGAGACAGCTTCATCAACAGCTAACCAGCTATTATTATAAAGGTCTTGATTAACCGGGGGAAGACTCTCTGGCCCCAGAACAGACTAACACCAACTGCTCTTGACGTGTGTGTTAGATGAAATAACTGCAAATTCGGAGTCAACAAAACATGATGATGCAGGGCTCTCGCTTCATCCAGTGGTCTATAGTGGTCTATAACCCAGGTTCTGTGGCATCCATCTGTAACCCTCACACCTCCTCACTTGACAGATGTTTACATGATCATACTAGTTATTTGTAGTTATTGTAACATAGATTTGGCTTCTTTATAAAGAAGGGGACAAGGAGGTTGCAAAGAAGGAAAAACTGCAGATTCATTAAGCTAAGTCAGTGGGGAAAAAATAATCCCTCTTTAATACATCCACCGTTGCCATTCATAAGACTTGCAAGCAGTAAGAGATTCGGGGATTGTTGGCAAATGTGAGAACATACATTTATATTTCCTGACATCAGAAAAAAGCCTTGAGGGAGAAATGGCTCCTGGATGGAATCGGCAGTGGAAAAGAACAGGAAGAGATGAAGAAGCAAAATCAACAAGACCAGCACCAGACCCAGGTTCTAGAGCAAAGCATCCTCAGGTATGTCTTTTCTGGGGTACTTCTCAGATCTCCTTCCCTAAAAGTGAGCTCATGGCCATGAAGAAAACTGAAAAGCTTAAATATGAGATGGGATTATTGGTAATGCCACAAACATAGATATCATAAGAGAAAGACATAGGGGAGGGGGCCAAAAGTTGTTTTCTCACCTATACACAGAAGATAGATGGCATGTTTTCCGTGTGTGTGTGTGTGTGTGTGTGTGTGTGTGTGTGTGTGTGTATGCACACATAGCTATCTTATGTGTGATAGAAGACAAAGGTTGAAGTTGGCACGTCTTTCTCAGTTGCCTCTTCCCTTATTTTTTAAATACATTTATTAATTTTTTGAGAGTTTTATACGGTGTATTTTGATCATACTCACCCCCAAGTTCTCCCAGATAAATCCCTTCCTCCCTACCTCCAGAACTTCATGTCCTCTTTTTTGCTGTTGTGTTTTTTTAAATAAGCCATGGGCTCCAAAGTGTGCTGACCTGGGTGTGGGGACCTCCACTGAAGCATGGTCAGACTGGCAGAAGCCACACCTTTGTACAAAACAGGATCTCCATCTCACAGAAACCACAAATTGCCCACAGCAGCTCCTCATTTAGAGGTGTGGACTCATATGCCCTTTCCCATTCCAGCTAGAATATTGTCTGGCTTGATACTGTGTAGTCTTGTGCATCAACGGCTGCGTTCAACATGTCTTGGTCCTTGGAACCTGATGGGGGACAGTGTGGCAATGGAGAAAGGACAGACACACATGCAGAAAGACTGGGATCAGGAAGGTTACATATGTTCTGTTACATATGTTCTGAAGCAGTTGCATGAACTGCCACAACAGCCTGAGAGCTCAGCAGGTTTACCATGATCTGCGCAGAAGGAGAAGTCAGCTGGTCTTGATAGGAGACTTCTGTAGGTGAGCGATCTCAGGCTGTAAATATTCAGGAGCAGGAAGCTACAATTGCTAGTTTTTGCACACACTTATCAATCATTTGTAAGTGTGCCAACTTGTGCACAAGAAAGCTTTGTCATTCTAAGCCTGACCTATAGGAATAAGGCTTTAGAAATTTTCCATAGGTCTCAAGCATTGGTCCTTGACATGGGCGTGTTCATGTCAACAATATGCATTCACTCAGTACTTCATATGCTCTCCATATATTCAACCTGGGCTTCCTCGGCTTCCCAAAGGCAATCACAGCTACCAAGTGCTCATGAACTCATGATCCTGTCATATACAGAAGACACTGTTTAACTCCAGTCCTCCCTGATGTCTGACTCTTCCACCCTCTCTTTCTTGGTCAATGTTTCTGTTGTTTTAGTGAGACACCATGACCAAAACAACCTGAAGAGGAAAGGGTTTAAATCGCTTACACTTCTACAACATTGTTCATCATCCAAGGAAGTCAGGATAGGAACTCAAACAGGGCAGGATACCAGAGCCAGGAGCTGATGCAGAGGCCATGGAGGGGTGCTGCTTACTGGCTTGTTCCCCATGGCTTGCTCAGCCTGCTTTCTTATAGAACCCAGAACCACTAGTCCAGGCATGGCACTACCCACAGGGGCTTCCCCACCAATCACTGATAAAGAAAATGTTGTATAGGCTTACCTACAGCCTGATCTTACAGAGGAATTTTCTTAATTGAAGTTCCTTCATCTCAGATGTGACAAATTGACAGAAGCCTATCCAGCACACTTTCTTTCTTGATGGTCCCTGAGTCTTGGGAAGAAAATGTAATATAAATGTTCTATTTGTGGCTTAGCACTCCATGGACACTTATAACCAGTTCTGAGTGTCTGTATTAACCACTGTCTGCTGTACAAAGAAATTTCTCTGATATAGTCTGAGCTCTGCACTCATCTATGAGTAGAGAGACACGAATTTTGAAGGCAATTTAATATTGTCAATTCTAGCAGAATAATAGTGGTTGTTCAACCATGGGATATGTGAGTCTCTGGGTTCTTGCCCAGATTTACAGTACCAAGCATAAATTTCCCCCCTGTGGAATAGGTCTTAAATCCAATCAGGTCATTGGTCCACCCATATTTTTTGAGACAGGATGTCTCATAGCATCAGCTAGGCTACTGACCAGCAAGCTGCTGGGATAACAAGTATGTACCATACTGTCCTGCTTTTAAGTAGATGTTGGGAACTTGAACTCAGATCCTCAAGCCTGTACAACAAGCACTTTATCCACTAAGCCCTCTTCCCAAGCCCCAAAAGATGAAATGTCTTGTGGCTTAATCATGACACTGACTTAAAAGCAACTCCTCCTTAAAAGATAAGGAACTTCCAGGACCTCACTAAACTGAGAAGGGTGGGAAAGGGCTGGGCAGGAGGTGTGGTGTCAGAGTCTACAGAAGGCCTGCCGTGACCACATTCTCCATGCTCACCAGGGAAGACAATCAGATCTCACTAGTCCTCAAAAGAACAATTTGGGAAAAAAGCTTTTTTTTTCCTGATGACTTCTACTGCACTTTCTCATTTACATGAAGCTTATATTTGATAGGTTAGACTTTTGGCTGCACTACCTTGCTTAGATGGCTTTAAATGAAGAACTCTTAAATTATAATGCAATTCAGATTTTTAAATCTATTATCCCCCAACACTAGTTGTTTGCTCAGTATGTTTCCCAACAGTAGATAATAAACAATAAACATTGTCTTTAAAAAAATCAAGGCCCAACTGCCTCTACAGTTGAACACTCCATCCATTCCGAGGCCTCCCTCGAACTGGAGCTTTGTACCCAGAGTCCATCCAGCTTAAGCTGATGATGTCTTTCTCCAGTCCCCAACTCAGGATCCTTATCTCTAATGACTCCCAGGCTAATCCCTGTAAAGCTCCCTGCCATGCTGACACCTCCTTGCTTCACCTCAGAACCTCCTTTTCCAGTCTTTCCACATAATGAACAGCTACAACTCTCCCTACACCTGATGATAATTGAAGTAGCTATGTACAGTCAGGCCGCAGGGACAGGTCCATGCAGCAATTCTCCATAATCCTAGAGTATTTACTAGGATTCTCCAGTTGCCTTTCAGCCTTGCCTGAATGCTCCAAGAAGCACATAGCTTCTAGCCATACTGATAGTGACTGTCTAGACAGAGCTCCTATCTGAGAAAGAATTTTAAAGAGGAAGGAGATGTTTAATGAGGTATAGAAGATATGCTGTCCCCATTTGGTCTTAATAGCCTTTAGAGAAAGACATCCATCACCTTTTGCAGAGAGATCTGACAAAAAGCAGACAGACAGGTATTCCCTCATCCAATTCTCTCAGTGACTACAAAATGTCACACAGCCACCACTGGGGACTGAAAAGGACTCTCACAGAGAGGTGTTATCTCTCATAGGAAGTCTTTAGCCATGTTCTGTTCCTTTGTTATTGCTCTAAAACCCTCCCACCTGCCTCTGTTCTCTTCACCAAACTGTCACTCAGGTGGCCTGTTTCCGTCATCTCACTGAACTTAATTTTGGACATTCAGGATGCTGTTATGTCATCAGGGCTCCTTAATGCGCACCAGATGAAGTTAGTCCACAAATATAAAGAAGAATAATAATAATTCTTTGAAAAGGGCTTCATTCAATTTATGAAGTATTTGCCTAAGCATGAACTCCTTTAATAGTCACAGCAGTCCTAAAAAGAAAACACTAGCAACTCCATGTCATAGATGAGGAAATGGCCTTAAAGAAGGTATGGGACTTTGTGCCCAGCCACAGGGCCCACAAGGAACAAGCCAAGCTCTAAAGCCAGAGCTCTGAAGCTAAGAAAGAAAAAGAGAACTTTGAGTGTAAATGTTTTGGAAGCAATGACACAGCTGATATGGGCAAGTACCTAGAAAAATCAACAAGGAGATTTTTAAAGGAACTGTCCTAAAGAGATGTATTTGCAAGGAATTAGTAAAGAATTCACATCTTTTATGGCCTTTGTTTTTAAAAATATGTACAAGACCAGAATGTTCCAAAACAAACTATGAGTGTGGGTAATCTGCGTGCCCTTGTCTGTATTTCAGCAGCCCTGCGAGGGCTCTGCACCCCAGGCTGCTGAACACTTTTCCCTCAGATATTTCTAAAGCTGTTAAAGAATCAGGTGCATGCTTTTCATCTTCCGCCTAAGTAACTACCGCAGTGCTTAAGAAGCTTTTATTACCAAAGAAATCAGTGGGTTCCTGCTAGTTCTCCTTAGCCAACTGCTACAGTGAAACCGAGCAACGCTGTGCCTCCTTCCCTGAGCAGAGAAAGAATCCAAGCGTCGCCTGTGATTTATCACTTAGGTGCCTGCTCAAGAGTGGCATTTGCCGTTCTGCCAGGCCCCTCAGCAAAAGGATAAGAGTTAAACAGGAGCATCAAAATAGAAATGATGCCATTACCTCAGGGTTCGCAACAAGGCCAGCCCCCGCCTGTGAAGTGTCCATTCCTTCTATGTTCATGGTTTGATGGCAGTTCACCTTTAGCTTCTTAATCTCTTCCACTACCCACAGTCTGTGGGCTTAGCTAGTCTGCTTGCACCATTCTCAGCCTCAGCTTCCTTGCTTGGAAGGTGGGGAAATTGGACCCACACCACCGGATTCTTGGGAATACAGTAATTTCCCTGACACACAGTAGGTGATTAATATAAATATATTGAGAAATACATAATACTATTCTTCCTTGAAAGTATAACTCAAAGGGCTAGGGAGCTGGCTAAAACCATTGCTGTGTAAGTGCTCTAGTTTAATTCCATGACCAAAAGCAACTTGAGGAAGAAAATGGCGTATTTGGCTTAGAAGTTACAGCCCATCGTTGGGGGAAACCAAGGCAGAAGAAGCCTAGAGGTAGGAATTGGAGCAGAGACTATGGAGGAATGCTACTTGCTGGCCTGTTTCCCCTGGCTTGCTCAGCTACCTTTCTTATGTAGCTCAAGTACACGTTCTATTAATTAACAGTAAAGAAAATTCCCCACAGATCAGTCCGATGGAGGAAATTCCTCAGCCTAGGGTCCCTCTTCCCAAGTCAGTCAAGTTGACAAC